TGAGGACCCAGATTGTTGTTGGGGGCAATATGCTGACTCTGTAAACCGCTTAGAGAGGGCTGAAAGCCCTATGAAGCAGTATATAAGCCTAACTGTTGCTAATAGACTTCGGGGGCGGGAGCGAGGCTGGTCTGGTGCCGTAGCTGAAGAAGCTACCCTTTGCAGCACGCGCCGTTCAACGTCCATCTTGTAGTGATGGATAAAGGGTGACGGCAATGACCAGGTCGCTGCCCTGCAGATGTCCTCTGCTGAGGCTTGCATTGCCCAGGCCGCCGTTGTGGCCGCACTCCTGGTAGAATGGGGAGTGATGTGACTGGGAACTGGTCGAGACTGACAGTCGTAGACAAGGGCAATACACGCCTTCAACCAGCGGCTGATGGTATGCGATAATGCCTTGTGGCCCATGGTGGCAGGTTGGAAGGACACGAACAGGGCCTCTGTCCTTCTGAACGACGCCATGCGTCGCACATAGCAGTGAAGTGAATGACAAATGTCGAGATGATGCCAACGCCGTTCTCGGTGGTGAGATGGCCATGGACAGAAATCTGGGAGAGTGATCTCTTGTGACCTGTGGAACGACGAGTTGACTTTTGGAAGAAAGCTTGTGTCCAAACGTAGTACGACCCTGCTCAGATGGAAAATGCAGAGGTCATCCCGGACAGAGAGCGCTGCCAACTCGGACACACGCCAGGCTGATGTGATGGCTTCTAAAAAGATAGTCTTAAGAGTCAGTAACTCTTAAGTTGAGTGATACTCTTGAGTGATTGCATTTTGAATTTTGGGTATTTGAGGTAGAAATTGAGCCGTTTCAAGTCTAGGATGGCCCACCATTCTCCCGAGGCCTTGGGAATTAGGAAGAGTATTGAGTATAGAAACCTGGACCCTCCTGCCCCCTTGGCATCTGTTCTATTGCTCTGATGGAAATGAGATGCTGGATTTCCGTGTCCATCAGGCGCCGCTTTACCTGGCACCTGGGTACCAGACATTTGATGAAACGTCTCAGGGGAATGGCCAGGAACTCCAGAGTGAGGCCCAGCCTCACAGTCTGAAGAGCCCAGGCGTCTGAGGTTGTGGTTTCCCATTGGCGGACGAAGGTGGTTAAGCACCCACCAATAGGGCCAACCTCTAGCGAGTCACCGGTACCTATGAAAGGACCGGTTGTTGATGCCATAAAAGGGCCGCCGAGCCTGGGCCTGTTGTTGGTGCTGGTTCCTACCTCTGTCCCTAGTGTTGGACCTGTCCTGA